GATAGATAGATAGATAGATAGATAGATAGATAGATAGATAGATAGATAGATAGACAGACAGACAGACAGACAGACAGACAGACAGACAGACAGACAGACAGATATAAAAATAGATAAAGAGAGAGAGAAGAGACCTTGGAATCCAACTCCCTGCCTAGGCAGGAAACCCTACAATGTATGTATGTTGGTATATCTTCTCCACCTCTTGGCACTCCATGTTGGGTCTCCCTGGAAAACATGCTATAAGGCAAAACAGCAGAAAGCAAAAACCGAAAGAATCTGGGTTTTAGGCTCATAAACCCGGTTCTTTGGTGAGTTAATTTTTTTTTTGCGGCTAACATAACTCTTTCCCGCCTCCAACCAGGTGCCCCGTCTTGGCAGATCTGGATTTAACTGGGATCGCAAAGCGATTCGCCCAGTTGGACCTGACGGGTTTGGCTTTAGGCTGCCTGGTGCTGATTCCTCAACGGGAGAAAAGAGGCCAGCAGATCCAGGTGAGTGAAGGCGCCTGCCTTCCCACACCCAGCGCCCCTCCCGATTGTGCGACGATCGCCACTCCCACAGTCGCGGCCCCCTCTTCGCGTGACGAGATCCGAAGCATTTCACGGTCTTGTTTGAAGAGAAGTGACTCTGTTTCCCCCCCCCTTTGGATAGGCCTTTCTGTCCTCATCGGATCTCGAGCAGGTGCTGCAGCAGACGGAGGAGCACCTGAGCCTGGGCGAGGCAGCTGGCGTGGCTTCACAGGTAGGCAAGGGGGGGGCAGTGTTAAAAGACAACCTGGCAAAGTTGACCTGCTTGTCTTCCGGAGTAACTTCCCCCCCCCCCCTGCTTTGTAGGTGAGGAGTTCCATCCTGGACCACATCCTACACCAGGCGAAGGAGGACTTGGCAGAGGTCAAATATTTCCCCTTATTAAGGCTACGCGAAAGGCATCCTGGCCAAGTGAAAGGCCTGGTGGAAAAATTGGTAGCGAAGGACAGGTAAGCAAAGAGAGGGGCGTTTCCTACATTGATGGCTCTAACTTGGTATTCCTTCAGAAGAGGGAGGCTTTTAAAATTATATTTATATCACACCTTTCTATCAGGAATCCAGGGAAGCGGACACAGCACCTGTCAGTCTTCAAGAATCCTTCTTCTGCTTGTCTTTCCGGCTGCCGTAGAAACGGGGGGAGGGAAGATTAATTGGGCTTTGTGGGGTGGGGAAGAGTGCTGGAGGCCTGAGAGGCAAAATGTAAAACTTTGGGGAAACTTTCTTACTGGCTTGCTTGTTGTGCAGCTGTGGCTTCTTATCTATTCAGGCCAAGGTCAACTGTCCTGGCCAGCCAGATGTCTGAAACACCAGCTGAAGATGCCTCACATGACCTTATACACATCTCAGATTGGATGGCCAGTTTGAACTATTGTGGGCGGGAACGCTGCCATAACTTTTGTATAACTTTTCACGCCTAATGCCTCAGGATCTTGAATTCGTTTGATGCTCCCACTTTGATTTCCAGGAAAAGTCCTCTCCTCTATAACCATGGAGTCTTAAGGTTTTCTTTCTTGGGTTCTCAAGGGAGCCTCACCTGACAACTTCCTCTTCCTGCCTTCCCCTTATAATAGAGCAGGTGCCGAACGAATTCACAATCGCCCGGGGAAATTTTTCTGGGAAGCTCAGCTTTCCCGTACTTTTAAGGGAAAACAGAGGACTCTTCTCTGCAATGTGTGTCTTGCAATGTACAAAATGCTCCTTTTGTGGCTCTGCAGGATGGAGGATGCAGCCTCTCTAATAACAGAATATCTTCAGAAGCCGGAAACGTCTCTTCCGTCAAAGCAAACGGCTTCCGAGGTGGTGAAGGTACTCGGTTTTATGTTTTAAATTGGCCTGAGAGGCTTTTATTCAGGAGTGAAATGGCGCTACCCTGTTTTTTCTGCCAAAAGCACCTGTCAGCTTTGGAAGCCATATTGAGATCCGATGCTCCCATGTTGCCACAAGCCTGAGAAACGTGACCATTTTTCACACTTACAATGGTTGCGTTCCCATGGTCATGTGATCAAAATTCAAACAATTGGCGGGTACTTTTGATGGCTGCAACATCCTGGATGATCCCCTTTTGCAACTGTCTTGAGAAGCAAAATCCAGGGAGAAGCCAGGCTCACTTAACAACCGGGGTTACTAACTTAACACTTGCAGTGACTCACTTAATAACGATAGGCAAGAAACGTCATAACAAGTGGGGCAAAGCTCCCTGAACAAATGTCTTGCTTAGCAACAGCAATGTTAGGCTCAATTGTGGTCGTAAGCCAAGGACTAACAATATATCATAAATATAACGTGGTTTTAAGAGAAACTTGTCTTTATCTGATCCCTGGATCTTACCTTGGGCATTTTATTAATCTCCTTCCAGATGTACTTGAGTGAGCTGGAGCCAACTCTGCTGTAAATTCCCCAAAGAAGATGATATTTCTTGATCACCTCATCATCTGGATATACAAAACTGAAGATGTTAGTCTCAATTCTACTGAAGACGAACATGATCAACGTGTCATTTCTCTGTGTACATATGCTAATTTTATCCCAGGAAACACGCTTTCCACATTTCATGGGTGTTTATACAAAATGTATCTGGCAAACTCACTCTGTATCCCTTGGATAGTCCCATATAATAATGACTGAAAGTTCTCATAGAAGGAGAGAGGCAAAGAATCTCCGTGTTTTAATAAGTAAATATAAATCAATAAATCTGTGAAGACGTGGCTCTCCTGCTTGTTTCTTCATTGACATTTAAGGCACAAATCTCTTTTACACTCTTTAAATCAGAGGTCTCCAAACTTGGCAACTTTTTAAGACTTGTGGACTTTAACTCCCAGAATGCTGGAAGTTGAAGTCCACAAGTCTTAAAGTTGCCAAGTTTGGGGACCTCTGCTTTAAATTAATGCTCTCCAGGGCCATGAAGTGGCTTGGAGATGAAGCAAGCCGAAGACCAACATATCTGAACCATTGCCATAAATAATCTTAATAATCTTTATCAAATTGAAATTGAATAACGTCTTTATTATACAACAGTTCACATGAACAGGTAGAATTCTGCTGCGCACGTTGAGTAGTATTTACAAGCAGGAGCCATTTTGGGGGCCCAAAGGGGAGAAAAAAACAAAAAATTAAACCAAGGCAGATGTCAGAAGTCAGGGGCTGTAAACTTAGTTGCCTACGACAAGCTAAGAGAAGCCGCCTTGTCAACTCACAAGGCTGCAAACACTACGGACTGTTGGGTACATATTGCAAAAAAGGTTGGGGCGAGTTAGGGGAGGCCCACTTGCTTTCAACATTTCTTGTACTCGATTCTTTCCACTTTGACATCGTCGCCGATCAGCTGATAGACGTAGGTGACAACTGTGGAGGCCTGGATGTCCATCAGCACAAAGGAAGGGATGATGTTGCTGGGAAAGGAACCGGAAACGACCCGTTATTTTGCTGACGGTGTCAGGAGTTGAGGTTTTGGGTGGGTGGGGAGTCTACACAGAGTGGTGGGATTTGAATAACTTCACCAGTTCTCTGGCTGGGTAGATGTGGGCGGTTGGCCTTGTGACTGAGTGGGTGATGTCACTCATGCCCTGCCCCGTCTCTTGGCCACTCGCCTCAAAGGCAGAGGCAGTCGGATTCGGCCAGTTGGGGCTAATCCCACCACTGGCTGGCCCTGGCTGTTTTTAGGCCGAAAACAACCAAAAACCTGCCCGAAAAGCAGGCTGAAAAACGAGTAGGCACGGGGCCAACCAGTGCTGGGATTTTCCAGTTCACTGAACTGCACAGAATCTTAACTACCGCTTTGCATGAACCGGTGTGAAGCGGCAACAGCCCTGCCTGTCTACCCATAATAAAAGTCTAACTTACTTTTCCAAAGCACTGTAGGCCCCCGTGGCTGACCCTGGGTTAATGTAGAACTTGTTTTCGTGTTCAAATGCCTCGAATTTGTGCGTGTGGCCTGAAATCAGGATGTCGACGTCAAACTGCCTCTGGAGGAGAGCGAGGCTGGCCACGTCGCCCCAGGGAATGACTTGATGGCCGTGGATCAGCCCGATCTTAAACTGCCCCACAGTGACCACTTTCTGTTCGGGATAGTTCAGGTTCTAGGATTGAAGGCAGAGCGTGAAAACGAGACAAGCAGAAAAGACTTGGGGTCATCCTCTTTCAACCCTTCCAGAGGAAAATGTCCTCTTTTTTTGGGGGGGGGGGGGATGAATCTTCAGGCACTGTCCCTTGTAACAAAGTGGGTGAATCAAGATATGAGGAAGATGAACACGATGGAAATATTTCAGACACCATTAGCTGGACAAAAGGGAATGATTTCTTAAGTTCTCAGGGAAGTAAGATAGTATTTGGATGTGGCTCAGGCAGATACATCCCTAAATCACTGAAGTACCAAAAAGAGAGAAAATTGGCAACAAAACATAGGGAGTGGCAGATTGGCACAATTCTATTACGCTCAATCGCAGTAAAATAAGTTTTCAGGTGGAATTGGTTAGCTGGTTTGGCCCATGGAATGCAACATTTCTCAAGCTTAATACTTTAAAAGGTGTGGACTTCAACTCCCAGAATTCCCCAGCCAGCATTAGGAGTTGAAGTCTACACATTTTCAAGCGGCCAAGGTTGAGAAAATTAAGACAATTAAGTGATAATAGAACAACAACACAAATCTCCATAAACAGGCTTGCAGGATCAATAAATTATTTACAGAGAATTAATTCAGCCCTCAGGGATAACAGAACAGGTTGATCAAATGCCCAGACAGAAATCCCAGTTTGCAGCAGCCTTGTCGAATGTCGTTACCTCATCAAAATCTCCTCTCACAACATGAACGTCGCCAGCCAAGGTCTTGAGGTAGTCATAGCTCTCCTTCGTGCAGAGGTTCCCGGTGCAAAGGATGTGCTGGATTTTGCCCGGAACCAGCAGTTTTTTGAATTTAGCCGGCAGGCTGTTACAGCGGTGAGGAATATTAAGGTCGCCCAGCACTAACACCAACTTAGGACAAGAAAGAAGAGGTGGTTAAGTTTCTAGCAAGGCACCAACCAGCTTTCCAGCACTGGAGAGAAAGAAATGCCCCTCAAATCAAGGCAAACCTGATAACTTCTAGAAGATTTGCAAATCCCGTTGCAATTGTGTATTTTTTTTAAAAAACAAACAAACAAACCATAAGTAACTTGGATTCACTGCAGATAAAATCATGATACATTAGACTGGAGGAAAGTAAAAATAATGACTCAATCCAAATTGTTTCTTAAAATTCTTTGAATTTTGAAAAATATAGGCAGACTTTTCCCTACGTACAACCGTTTGAATGAACAGGCCGTAAAATGTGAGACAATTTTAAGTTGACCATTGCAGGGATTATTCAGAGCTACTTTTTCACGGGGCAAAAAAATCCCGTCCTTTGAAGTATTTCGTTTTAAATAGATGCTTTTTACACCAAAGGCCACCAGCGTATCTTGCTGGTTGGCTGTGCCACTACTAGACAGGTTGCCAACTGCCCACTTTCTGAATTTACAAAATGACACCTGCCAATCACATGGCTCTATGGTTGATTTTATTGAGGGAGAAGAGATTCTGCCTTATGGATGTAGGGCGGTGTTTCTCACCCATGGCAACTTTAAGCTCTATGGACTTCAACTCCCAGAATTCCCCAGCCAACATGGTGCCCTCCAGATGTGTTGGAAATGCTGGAAGACACCAGCATTGAGTTACAGCAAGGCGATTGAAACAAGGCAAAGCTTTTGACCTCAGCAGCCATTGGCCAGATACCGTCCTTTAAATGCTGCTACCCTGAAAGCTGCTAAAAGAGTTATCACCTACCACCACTGTCAGCAAGAGGCCAAGATGAACCAACTTACTCTGTGCCCAGCCTTATTGGATGAAGAGGTTGATTGCAGACAAGAGCAAAGGATGTGGGGCAGCGTGGGTGGAGATGGGGATGGAAAAAAATAGGGGTGAGACATGAACAGTGTTAAATTAAAAGAAAGCAACAGAAAAAGGAAACATCTCAAGCCAAATTAATAGGCAAAATCACCAATGAAATCTGAATGTTAGCAAAGGAAATGTTAAAAATAAATCTGATTTATGCAGGTAATGGGTTATCCAATCAACTCTCCCAGCAGTTTCCCATGTTAACCTCCTATTTGCAGAATAAGCCACAAAAATATTATGCACATATTTTACAATCTATGGTAAAACGTTTGATTAAAAAGAGCAGGTATGCCAATTTCATCGTGGATTCTGCTCATTTTAGCGATGGAAAGATAAGCACGGGGAGGAAATGACCCAAAATATCCTATACAAATACAGTGAAAAATGCTTTACGGATACTTTCCGTATAGCTGTCACGTGAAAAACAACGCCTGGGATATTAAGTGATGAATAACCATGATATAAACCGCATTTCTAAAACTTGGATTTTCGTTTGATTGTCATTTCACTCTATTTGGGATTTTAAGAACCGTAGGAACTTCTTCCCAATTTACTGCTGCAGCTTTTGAAGCCGATCTCTCATTTCTCTTCAGAGGGATGGAGGAGTCGAGCGCTGGAACTCCATCCTCAAGTCCGAGCATCCTGCTAGTGGAATCTGAAGATTTTGCAAAGCATTGGTCCAAACTTCTCAAGCTTCTCTGCAGCCACGCAGTCTAAAAACAATCTTGTTTGCATATGAAAATTTTCAAATAGCTGACGCCCCAAATTAACAGCTTCACCCTTTCCCGATATTCCCAGGAGGATGTCTGCAAACATACACATAAACTGGCCTTCCTGAAACTGATCAGTTCTTACCTTATACCAAATAGTGTAATAATTTATGCAGCGTAAAGCGATCGCACCAAGACCTTAATAAATAAAAATGGACCCAACGGCCCTTTTGCAACTAAATGCCTCCACGGATAAAATGCACTGTACAAATACATATTAGCACTTATTCTCACTTCTCAACATTACAGAGAATTTCCTACTAGGATGTTACACACCGTGGGTCGTTTCACAGGTGGGTCGTAATAGTTCCCAGGGTTAGCCAAGCACCATCATGATAGGTAAGCTGTTACCTTTCGTATCATGAAAGCAGGTGAGTTATAGGTATAGTCCTTGACTTAAAACAGTTCAATTTAGTGACCGTTCAACATTACTAAAAAAAAGGGACTTATGAGTGTTTTTCACACTTACAACCACTGCAGCATCTCCATAGTCACGTGATCAATATTGAGATGCTTGGCAGCTGACTCATATTTGTGACGGTTGGGGTGTTTCCCAGGGTCACGTAATCCCTTTTGCGACCTTCTCACAAGCAAAGTCAATGGGGAAGGCCGAGTCACTTAACAATCATGTTACTAATGTAACAACTGCAGTGATTCACTTACCAACGGTGGCAAGGAAGATTGTGAAATGGGGCAAAATTCATTTAAGAAATGGCCCACTAAGCAACAGGGCTCCATTGTGGTCGTAAGTCGAGGACTACCTGTTTGTCGCACAGGCAGATCATCAGAACTACCAGGAAGGTGAAGCAAGAGAGTCAGAGACGGAGAGAAACCCCCGGGGGGGCTCAATCTTACCCCCAAATTCCCAGAGGTGTTAACTTGACAACAAAAGGTCCAACCTCTTCCCTAATTGGGTTAATTTGTTTTTCTGAAGAAGCTTCCATACACCCCCAGGGCTAAAATTCCCATTTCCCCCTAGGAGAAACGTAACCTATGAAGTTTGTTTTTATATGTATAATATTAGTGTGTGTGTATGTATGCAAGTATGTATACACACACACACAAAATACTATTACTATACTATTATATATAGCATAGTATATAGTATGTATGTGTGTGTGTGTGTCTATATACACACACACACATACATATAATATAATATACACACACACACATATATACAGATACGTTTACTATATATATATATACACACACACACACTATATACACACACACATGTATACATATATACACATACATTTACTATATTTATATATATACACACACCCACGAACATAGATATATAGTGTATAGTATAAGATATATAGTGTAAAATTGAAAATAAGAAGCAGAATATTTATGTAAAATAACCAAAATTGAATGTTTTCTTCCTGGGGGAGGGGGGAGGAAGGGGAGGGCTCATTCAATGCAACCGATTTACGACCTGTCTGAATTTGGGGTGCTGAATTCGGGGCTGGAGCCAGATTCAACCCCCTCCCCCCCCCCCCCCCAAAAAAAACCCAAGGGCGCCACTGCCACCCTCCCAGCTGGGTGGGGATGATGGGAGTCGTTGTCCCACGCAGCTGGAGGGTGCCCGGGCTGGCAACGCGGCCAGATCAGACCCAGTCTGGGTATCCAGGCCAACCCCCGGGCCTTTTGGGGGGGGGGAACCTCCCCACTGCCCCCCTCCCAGAACGACTCACCATTTTGGCCGCTGCTTTGGTTCCCCCCCACTTTCCGCCGCTTCCGGTGAGCCCAACCCAGAAGGCCGGAAGTGCTGACTACGGAAACCGAGAAGAGCCAAAAGCGGCCACTACAGCAGAAGGAGCCTGTCGGCCCGACTTGCAAGGCTGAGGAGGCGAGTTCGTCGATTGCAACCCTACATGAGCGGCGCTGTTGGGTCGCTGAGTGGAGGGTGGAAGTCCAGCAAGGGTGCAAGAAATAAGAACTTGGCATGACAGTGCTCAGCACGCCCCCATCGTACGCCGCTTAGCCAAGTGGCGGATGATGGAAACTGTAGTCGTGCTAGGAAAGAGTGCTTAAACGGAGCGGGGTTGTCCACTGCCCCGCATATGGCGGCATCGCAAAAGAGCCGGAACATGCAGCTCCACCCAAGAAAGGCCCTTTCCCCATCATTCCCACCCTCTAAGGCCTCTCCAGCATGTCTTGAGTTCTCGCGAGATTTCCTCCAGGCGAGATTTCCCGCTTTTTTTCTTGAGGCGGGGACTTTTCACACGTTCTCCAGACACGCGTGTTTTTTGGGGGGGAGGGGGAAATTGCCCTTCTTTTCATAATGAAGTGTGTCATTGGGGGCGCTCATGTCAGAGGTATACCTCACTGCTTCATAAGAGGAAAAGAAACGCAGTTTAATCTTGCCAGATCCCTCCAAAAATCAAAAATTCTCAGCCATAAATGAATATGTGTGTGTGTGTAATGTGTATTATATATGTGTGTGTGTGCATATATATGTGTGCATATATATGTATTTATTTTATATACATATAATTGCTTTGGACAATGAAATAGGCAGATATGTATGTATGTATATGTGTGTGTATACATATATATGAATGTAGGTATGTATGTATGTATGTATGGTATTCAGCTTTGTTCCAGTATTTTCCCACGTCTTTAGTTGTGCTTTTAAAGTTGTAGCTAAATACCCGCGAAAACTTAAGAATGAATATATATATATATATATATATATATATATATATATATAATATGATATATAATATATATCAGAAAACAAATATATATATTCATATATATTCATATATATTCATATATACACATATACATACACACACACATACACATATACACATACATATATATAAATCAATCGAACTCAGGCAGTCCCTGTCGGCTTCCTTGTCGTGCAGCACTTAAACTGAATATATTTTAAGTTCCTTGTGCAATTGGGCTGCCTTCCCGGATGTGTTTAGCTAAAAGTCGCTCTCTTGTCCCCTTCCAAAATGGTTTGTTATGTTTGCAACATTAACACCCCTTCCCCAATCTTCCCCGCAGTGTTTGGAAGGGCTCTGCACGCCATTGCGAGAATCAGCGATGAATTTTGGATCGACCCCAAGGAAAACGGAGTGAGTTGATCCTGGATGCAGAAGAAAATAACTTTGGAACTGAGCCGTGGGTTCCAGAGAAATCCACTGTCAACTGCCATGCCAGGGTGGGGCTACCCAAGCCATCCGTTGTTGATTAAGGCAAACCACTGTTTTGCTCAGAAGGGCCTCATTTGGATGGGAGCCTTAGTACCAACTGCGTAATGCAGCTTTCTTTCCCTCACTTGCACTTCAATGTTGCTCAGAATTCAATGTGCAATATACAAGCACACACTTGATATTTATGCAATGCATGCTAGGATTTCCCTCGTTAAGTAACGAGACCCGTGTTGCAAAATCTAGTGTTTTTCCTCTCACCATCTGGAAAATCCTAGCACAAGTATAACAAAGTGAACAGCTGATGTTTGGGTTGTTAAGAGTTAGGTTGAAGCAAACCAGCGCCTTCCAATGTTGCCATGTTGTGCAGTTTTGTTCTTGCTTATCTGTAACTTAGGAGCAATACAGTTAATATAGATAATATCATTTTATCCTATCCACAGCTTTTTTTGAAGACGGTAAATAGTTCCAGATCGGCCTATGCCTGTGTCTTCTTTTCATCCACATTCTTCCAAAATTATTCCTATGGAAATGAACGGAGCCTGAATGGGGACACTGTTCAACTCGCATGTAAATTAATAATCAAAGTAAGTTGCGGGAACTTAACTGGGGGAAAAAGGATTTATTGCAGCTGGTAAAACTTGAGGGGGGAAAAGGACATAACTTTTTAACATTAATAATCGGGAATAATTAAATTCTAAAAATATACAAATTACTAGGCCTGAAAAAAAATAAGATTTAAGCTGAATCAAACAGTTGTGCTGCATACTTTTTGACGGTAAGAGGATTCTGCAGTCATTATTTTTCCTCATGAAATCCCTGCTTTAATTCATTTTTTTTTCATTTCAGGCCATTCTGCCTTTATTTCGATGCTTGCACACCCTGGAAAGAAATGTGGAAAAGTGCAACATTTACACAGACGTGAACGATTGCCATGTTGTTTTTAAGCTATTCTGCAAACACGGTAAGCGCATGGTCTGTTTCAGACTTGAAAGGCAACATTAAAAATGTTATCGGTCAGGATCTAAAGAGCTCCTCCCTGCCTTGGCTTTGGGTTGGAAATATTTTGACTGTGGTGGAATTTTCCAAGGAAGTCCCTCCGCTGTCCCCCAAAATTGAGTCCCCGAAGGGAGCGTGTGAAATGAAATTTTCTGCTGGATTTGAATCCTCTGAAAACCTTTTGAGATAAAAATGGGGCAGCTTACAAAGACGGGCTCACTTATAGCTTAACACCCTGGGATTAAATCAATAAATGGCATTTGTGTTACAGTTATTAAATACGCTACAGATGGATCAGGTGGCACCATGTTTTTAATTAAGTTTGCAATGCTGTGGAAGCCGTTGCTAGAAAAAAAAAATACCCTGGCTCTTTCGAAAAATTAAAACTGTGCTGTATAATGTCCACCAGAGAGCAACAAATGGCCTCTTTTTTTTTATCAGCACAGGTTTGCCGTGGAGCTGGGTAGTCAGATGTTATGAAAAGCAGTTGATTGATTTGGCTGTGTGCAGAGGTGGTACATTGGGGGGGGGGGGGGGGGGGGGAAATCATGATTTTATTAAGGTTCTGTTAAGTGAGTTCCTAGGACAGCTGCTAAATTCAGCAAGCATCTGCATCCATCACTTCTTGCAGAGACATTCTCAAGGCCATTCTCAAATCTTGCTTTGGGAGGATTATTTTTGTTTGACCTTCCGAGGGCAGGTGGTTTTCTCCTCATCTTACATGGCCGATAACACATTTAGCACAGTTCAGATAAAGGAGAATAGTAGCCCAGGGTGGAGAGGAGGGGTCCTTGGTGTTCTCCGAGCTTGGTTGTTTTCTTGCAGATGCTTCATGACCCAAACTAGGCAACACCATCAGCGATAATATTATCATACTTCCTATTTAATCACGCTGAAATAAAAATGCTCTGCTCAATTCATTTCGCATTGGGCCTGCAGGGAGACTTGGATTTCAAACCATATCCTTTTCCATCAGGTGTCGTGAAAACTCATAGCTTAGCTTTCCAGGAGTGTGAACCTCTTCAAGCTTTGTTTGCAAAACACTTGTGTACCAATGTATTGAAAGTCCACTCCAGGTAACATAATAGGCATATTAACCATGTGCTTCTTTTGTTGTGGTTGATCGGGTGTGTCGAATGAGATGCGAATGGTTGTTTGTCACTGAAGGGATCTTGGCCTTATTAATTCAGAGAGAAAGAGAAAAAAAGAATTTAATAGGAGCTGCCCAATTTGTAACCTGAATTAATTATCCAGGGTTTTGTACATTTCAGGCATCTGTCTGACATGTTGATCCACTTTCCGACGTACCAAGAAGAAATAACTTTAGGTGTAACGCCAATGAAAGTTTGCTTCAAGACTTATGCAGAGGATGAGACGGGTGAGGATTGTGCTTCCATGGTGGGATTAAAGATACAACTTGTAATATCCCTGAACGCAAGAAGTTCTGTAAGATATGGCCATGACATATTATACAATCAAATAATGTCTACTAAATATTCAAACAGCAGAGAACAGAAAAACCTTTTTTTAAAAAACCAATAGTGAAATATATTGTTACTATTCACTCTCTTATAAACAGTAGCCACAAGGAAAGAAATATTCAAAATTACCCTGATAACGGGGCTCAATTTTGCTATTGATTTAATAGTTAGGAAGCTGTCATTTCTGCACCTAAATTCAGCACGTGAATCCGATCTGTAGTTTATTTATGGTGGTTTGTATTTTCTGCTATTGGGAATGGTTTTGCATTGACTTTCAGATATATTATTTTGTGGTATGTAGTAGCTGAAGGCTCAACCCTTTACTCTGCTTGGGATGGAAATGGTCATCAGCCCTGTGTTGTACACTAATCAAACTTCCATTAACCATTCTAAGAATTCTCAACAAACCTGTGTTTTTCAAAGTCATTTTTTAAAAATCCTGCATCACTTTATTTCGACAGAATTTGCAAAGGCAACGCACACGGAGATTCATCTGAGCCCTGCTGAATTTGAATATTTTCAAGTCGGAGTAGATTCAGAGGTCACCTTTTGCCTTAAAGAGCTTCGGGTAATATGGTTAATTCTGCTGTTTTGATTGTAGCGTGCATTTCATAAATATCTGGTGGAGTGTCTCATTTGGACAGCAGCATTAGGAAAGGATAGCGAAACAAATGCTACTCAGATATTCTTTTGATGCTGTTCTTTTATCAAAGCTCAGCACCCCACAGAATCCAGCATTTTATATGCAGCCATGGGTGGCCAAATGTCTCCAGGTAGCCCTGAAATCTAGTAATAAACGCTGCCGTGGCAAGCACTGGCGTTCATATTTTCTCTTCCTCCCCCCAGAGAACTGAATTAACTCCCCTCTTTCCCTTATGTTTAGGGTCTTCTGGTGTTTGCAGAAGCTCTCAGCACCCCAGTCTCCATTCACTTTGATGTATCTGGAAAGTAGGTAGATCTTTATCCTTTAAAACTTCAAAAGTTTAGCGAGAAGGAATTTAAAACTACCTCAAGTGTCCACAAGAGATGCATCTTGTCCACAAATGCATTTTTATGAGATTTATGGAATAGAAATATACACTTCTAAGGATTGCCCTACACGCACCATACAAGAACCATATATAATACGGAGAAGCATGCACACTAATAGCATGACAGTTTTGGCGGAATTTTTCTGGAAGAAAGGAACACGGTGCTGAGAATAACCTGTTTATTGCCATGATCATAGGGTGCCTATTTTCCAAGACAGACCGTTACATTAGAAAGACATTGTTAGTTATTTCGAGGTTGAGGCGGGAAACCAGATTCAACATGTTTTGGGGACATGTTTAAACAAAGGGAAAGTTTTCAGTTGCAAACAGTTGTTCTGCTTTTGTAGCAAAGCAGCCAAGTTCCATTGTTGAGGAGATAAGCCAGCATGTGGTTGATCTTGATTAAAATGGAATTCCTGGCTTTGGGAAAAACAAAGGTACCTCTAAGAACCTTTAGACAGACAGGTAAGGCTCCAGCATTGTTATAGCCCTGATGGGATTAGAAGGCCTATTTTGGTAGTGGGAACATGTCTTGCATCCTGCAGGTGCCTGGGGCTGTTAATTTGCATATGCAAATAGGGGAGCAGGAAAGAGAGGGAGGAGGGAAGAGGTTGCAATAGGAGGCACGGGAGGGGGGAGGGGAGAGAAAGAGAGGCAGGGGGTAGGGGAAGCTACAAATATTCTTTTTTATTTATCGGTGGTGGGGAGAATTTGCAGCTTTATTTCATTATTTTGGCATCTCGAGGCCTGCCATCAGTGAATGAAAAACTGAATGCTAGCAGGGAACGTTGTTGTATGATGGATTGGCAAAGTATGCTTTAGTCAGGGATCCGGGGAGTGGAAACATGGATGCAATTTAGGAAACTGTTCCATTCATGCATCTGCCTGGGAGGTGAACCAGCCCCTGCACCCCTTCAGATCCTAGCCCCCCCCCCTCTCTCAGCCTATTTTTTTGCATTTCAAGGCCCCTCGCCTTCAGCATTGAGGATACGGCAATAGAGGCCCTGTTTGTCTTGGCCACTTTATCCGACCCCGAAAGCTGCACAACGGCCAGTAAACCAACCTGCCTTGAGCAAAGCCAAAACAGGTAATCTTATTTTCAGGCCAAGATTTCTTCTAAAACACTCCATTTTAGATAAGGGGCCTTATCTCTCCCTCCCACCCTCCCTGGTATGGAGAGTGGAGGGAAAAAGTCAAGTTCTCGGAAGGAACTTCCTAGAAAAAATAGTTTTGTCCTCATCCGAAAAATATCCCAAGCAGCAATGTGTATTCCAGGGTCTGCAGGCAGCCAAGTCAGGCCTTTGGCAGGTCTGTCTACATGCCAGAGCAGAAGCCAGACTGAGAAAAAGCCCCTCGCGGTGACCTTTGGGGCAAATTTACTTTTTTCATCCAGTCAAACGCAGTTACAAACAAATCGTAATAATTTAAAATGCCCCTCACCATGTTCAACAACGAGGTGACTGAAAGCCACAGAAGACCCTTCAATGAGCAAGGGGAGTTTGCACGTTAAGGAAACAGCCAGCTGTTTAGGAGCAACTTGTTTAGCAAAGTAACTGAGAGGTTGTAATCCATTTCTCTGTTGCCTGAAGCCGAACAAGGCTCGTCTTTACAAATCTCTTCCCTCCTTAAAACTGTCAGATCATGCCAACATCTTGCCCAAATACGGTGCGTGCAATGCATCTATAGGGCCTCCACTCGGCAGAAAAGAAGATAAATCTTAGGACAGGCCCCAAGGAGCCCTTAGAGGCCCCTCCAGGACAAAGCTCCAGGGTGAAGCTTCTAAAAACAGCCCCTGGAAGGGAAAATCGTAACACAAATCCATCCGCCTGGTGTTTTAGGGGCCCTGCTGCCAGAGGGAGAAGGAATCAACACATCGCCAGTTGCAGGAGAAACGCATCCACAGCTCCCTCGGAGGTCTCTTCCACGGGAGAGGAACCAACACCTGGTCTCAACTATGATAAGGTAAACAAGAAGAGAGGAGAATCAAATGGCCTTAGTGAATTCGATCCGGTGGCTCTCTCTAATCCTAGCGAATGGGCTGAAAATGGTTGGGAAAGAGAGCGAGTGGCAAAGAGCGGAGTTTGGCCTGGCCTTCCGGTAACTTAAAAATCACCCCGAGATTCACTGCGATCCAGTTCTTCGATCCCACTTGGTTACCGCTACATGCAATTCCTAGGTTTGGCTCCGGGTCCCAGCGATGGTTCCTTTTTTATTTTTATTTTCCAGTTTCATTCCTTCTTTTTCGGAGCAGTTTCCCCGAATGAGCAAAGCCATGGCCATTTGCTTCACAATCTGGCAACGGTGAGCGACGCAGAAGAGGATGGCGCCCATGGGCAGCTCTCGCCTACGTTTTAACCCCGGGATGTGCCCGTTGGGGAAGCAGGCAAGCAGCTCAGTTTGGCCTGCAGGGAAATGCCATTTTTGCTTACTTTAGGCGTTCGAGTTACCCAAATGGACGCTCCTGCTTCTTATTTTACCAACTGTTTTTCTGCCAAATGTTGTTTTGCCTTCAACCTGTGGATATTGTCGTAACTTTGTTCAAAATCCTTTAGTTAGTTGGATGGGATTAATAAATAAATAAACAAACCCTAGGGGGGTGTATCATATTCAGAGGCCTTCCTTCAATGTGGGAAAACTTGCGAGAGATCCGTTTAGGAGGGGTTTTTCCCCCCAAAAACCAGAGTTAGTATATTACAATCAACTTTAAAAGCACTGTAGGATCCTGTTATCTCTCGTACCTCAGCAACCAGATGGAAAGTTTTGGAAGCGTGTTCAGAGCCATTCGGTCGTCAAGATGCACCCGGCAGTTTTAGCCTTTCTCAAGCTGGCAGTTACCCACGGCAACCTAACAAAAGGCCATTAATCACACCCTATGGCTGCTGCCAGGGCTCCTTCTTTAAGAAGAATGAGAAGGGAGGCTGCTCTTGAAAGCAAACTGAAACCAGGGAGAGAAAAGGGAGAACAATTTCTCTAGCAGCAGAGCGCTTATTAAACTCACCCCAAACATCCATAAAATGCTTTTTTCTTTTGGGGGGGTGGGAGAAAGACATATGTTCCTTTGCTGCTTCCACTGAATTCCTCCTTGTACACAGATTTTTCAAGATTTTAATTTTAGTGCATCATTGTTGCTGAGGACATGACCTGCCAGGAACCACCGGCTAAACGTTTGCGCAACGAGCATATATTGTACGAAAGATCAATATGTCCCATTTATATTGCCCGTTTGAACAATGCAACACTTTTTAGGAATTTTGCTTAGTGAAAGAAAATTAAAAGGCAGACATGCTATATATGATTGGAATAGGTCTTTCTTGGCTTTTAGAGGGGCCGTTTTGAGGCCTGATGATCTAAATTTCCCAACCTTGGCAGACTGAAGATGTTGCTGACTTCGACTCCCAGAATTCCCCTCCCAATTCTGGGAGTTCAAGTCCAAACATCTTCAAGCTGTCCTAGTTTGGAAGCACTGATCCAAATAGGGGGGTGGGGAAAGAGAACAACACAACCACAACCTTGTCTCGACAGTCACAATTCAAGGAAGCCCCCCCGTATATTGTATAAATACTATATTTATTAAATATCTTTACAGTTCATTTAAATGTATTTACAGATAACTATTCTCGCACAAATTATACTCCAGACATTCAATTCACATAATTAAAATTTCCTTTTTTTTTTTAAATTAAAAAAAAGGTAAGTTACAGGTCACGATAGTCTCATTTAACAAGAAAAAATGGCATCCTCATTAGATCAGCTATCCTCGTCGGGAGAAGGAAATTAATAATTAAAAAAATTAAAAATGCAAAAACCCAGGGGGGGGGTCTGGATCGCGTCTGTTTTCCCTGGGGGGGGGAAAAAGCCTGTTCCCACGATTTCTGATCTCCGCTTCCTCGTGGACGGTTTTTTTTTTTTCCTTCTTTTTTTAAAATCCCTATATCCCCTTCCAGTCCCAGATTCCAAGTTGCTTTCTCTCTTTTTTTCCTACTTGATCTTTGCAACAGAGATCGGGTGGGGAACCCAGCTCTGGATCCCACTGCTGCCACCAAAGAAAACGGAGCCCAAGATGCAAGCGCCCCCCCCCATTAAGAGCACGAGAGCCCCCTCCCTACCTCGTTGCACCTGACACCGCAATGGCAGGCACTTTCAGAAGGCCGACCCCTGCTCCCACGAACCAGAGGGGTCTCTCTCACACATGCCCCCCCCCAAAGAAGGTTGGGGTCCATCTCTCCTCCATCCAGGTATCCCCAATTTTAAGAAAGGAAAATGGAATGTGCCAATTCCTAACCCCAGTTGGCCTCCCCAAGTAAGAAGCAGCCCGGCTTGGAGGGTCAGGCGTGAAGATCACTCGCTTTTTCCTTTCCTTTGTGGGTGTTGTTTCTTCTTCTTTCCTTTTTTGTAAAAAAATAAAAACTCTTGTGCGCAGACAGCTTTTAAGTTCCTAAAGAAGAAACCAAGGTATATTGGGGTGGAAGGCTCATCTTAAAAGGGGGGGGGGGGAGGGGGGGGGGGGCGGGAGATCTCAAGCATGCAATAGAACTTTATAGTACAGTATTGCTTTTAAAAAACAGATGGCCGGAAAGCTTATAAACTCCACGGGGGTCTTTGGTGTCCCAAAGGGGAGAAAGGATGTGGGGGGGGGGGATGCAAGTTTTAAATATTCAATTTGACCATGGCTTTTTAAAAAAAAAAAAAACGGTCCTAAGGAACAAATAAATGGCTTTACAGATACCGCGAAGAGTAGAAATTGCTTTAAAGGAAACAAAACCAAGGATAAGCCCCCAAGGCGTACGAATCCCATTGCTATGTCTAAAGTAGAGTGGCTCCACCTTGGCAAGCTTTTTAAGAAGGGTGGACTTCAACTCCCAGAATTCCTCACAGCTGGCAGGGGGATTCTGGGAGTCGAAGTCCACCCATCTTAAAAAGCTTGCCAAGGTCGAGCCAGAGTGTTTTAAAGCACCTTCCCCCTTCCTAGTCAGCCAACAATTGCAGAAAGGCTAAAGGAGACGGCAGCGAGAATATAACCCCTGCTTGATGACCTCTAGGAGGCCCAGGACAATGGGGAAAACGGTGGGGAGAGACAGTAGCTCCTCAGGGTTTTGCTCCAAGTAAGAGATGGCACCAGCAAAATGCAAATTCCCAATTAAGAGCTTACCTGCCCCTCCAACGAAGCGGGAAAGGGGTTGCATAAAGACCTATTAATATACAATTTCTAGCAGAAGGTATTTAGGTCCAGCTGGTTCAGGTTAGGATGAGGGGAGGAGGGTTGAAATGGTTTGTACAACGTTATAATGGGCCGTGTTTTTTTTTTTAAATACTATGCCATTTTCATCCATTCACTGTATGCCACCCTGTATCCGTACCCCCCCCCCCCCAAACCGATCAGTTTTGTCAAGCTACGTTGTTAAGGCAATCTGGACAAAAGAAAAAAAAAAGGTGATTTAAAAGAAACCTGGAAAAGTCGGCTTGGAACAGCTTCTAAAAAATGAGTTATTATTATTGTTATTATTTTTTGCCCCTTATCATCGCAAATGAAATGCCTGTTAGAAGCAGGATGCATTGAAACGAGCCACATGTACACGGTACATGTTAAATTATAAATAAAAGCCGGAGACAATTATGCAAATGTACAGTACAACCACCAAAAAAATAATATTTAAAACAGGCTGAGGTAACCTCAAACGTACAGTTTTAACAGAATAAACCTGGCAGTAAAAAAAACCCCTTTTTTGTGAGTTTTTGTTTGTTTGTTTTTTAAAAAAAGGACGGTTGCTTTTACTCGCCGAGATTATCAACTAAACATCAATGTGACCCAACTTGCTGTATAAAACATGGCTTTTTGTTGCAAAGGACTTTTGTTTCTCCCACAGGCAAAAACAACAACCAAAAAAAAAAAAACATTATGAAAAACTGACCGAGATTTTTATACATACCTCTAGGCGTTATGTATAAATAAAAACAGCTGTTTTTTTTTTTTAACACAAGCTTAGAAAAACGGGCTAGGGGAACTTATAGCTACTGAGAAAATTGAACTGAGTGTGTGTTGATGCAAAAAAAAAGAAATAACAATACAATTCTATGATATTGCCAATTAGCAATTAGAGCCCTGTAAACATGGACTTTCTCGAGGACCCAAACCCACCACCCAAACACAAATGCTGCCCATTCGGGTTTTGCTCGCGCAGCGTGACGGCTGCTGTTGGGACCCCAACTCAGAACCGGGGTTCAACCTCCCTCGACGCTTCTCTGCAACTGAAGAGAGTTAGGCGATGATCTGGCAGAAAAACTCGAGCTACGAAAGGGCCCCGTGTGGCCATGCCAGGTATAATAACAGTTTAGCACCTTCACAAACTCTCTCCCTCTCGCACATGCGCACCACAATTCAAGACGAGTTGTGCGTTCCAAATTGAGTAACAAAAGCTCCTGGCTAACATCACACAGACCCAATATTTTTCAACCTGGGTGACTTGAAGATGGACGGACTTCAACTCCCAGAATCCCCCCCCAGCCAGCACAACTTTCAAGTCACCCAGGTCAAAATGTATCGAGCGCTGCACTTGGAAAGCCTATGGAGAATTCAGTGGCAAACGCAAGTTTTCCAACATGTTAAGGACGGATTGACCTGCCGCTGTTGAGAAATGGGCCTTTTTCCAGCAATACCTTTCTCAGGACCTCTCGGAGGTTCTGTTTGCCGATTTTGGAACGAACAAAAAAGACCCCTTCCCCAGAATTCGTTTGAAAACTACGCAGAGCCAATTTGACATTCTTGTTTGCTCGCCTTTTCTTCAGAGCCGTAATAAGTAAAAAGGTTATTCCCTCTTCAGCCCCCTTCCCCCACCCCGCTTTCTACGCGATAACTCTGAGTCAATTTTGAAAGACAGGCTTCAAGTATTGAAAATTCTTCATTTCTTGCTTGGAGGTGTCCCCAGGTGTCCTCCAGCTGAGGTTTTTGGGCCAGGGGTCTTGGCTGCATCTTAAAACAGGCAACGGGCCTAAGGTGTGATTAGCCACTGAGGTCAGATGCAGAGAAAGAGAAGAGACTTCCTGCCCGCAGGAAAATAGTGCGTGTGAAGCTGAGAACAGCTGGAGACATACCAGTCTTTAAAAGCAGAGTGTCACAGCTGGTCAGTCTGTGTATTCAGCTACTATAGAGAGAAGAACAGTGATGTCATCGGGTTTCCCACCTGAAAATCAAGACGTGGAGAAGTTTTTAAAGTATTATAAGAAGATATTGAGACTCTGAAAAGAGGCTAAAACATACGAAGGATGGTTGCAGGAATTGGGCCTGGCTGGTCTAGTGAAAAGAAGGTCATGGGATGACATGATAGCAGCGTTCCACAATTTCAGGGGCTGCCACAAAGAAGGGGGGGGGGGGGGGCAACTTATTTTCCAAAGCCCCAGAGGGCAGGAAAAAGAGGCAATGGGTGGAAACCAATCAAGGCGAGAACCAACCAAGAACTAAGGAGAAAGCAGCACAGGAGTTACCAACTTCTCTCAGTTCTGCACACTTTCTGCAAGCTTAATTCTAGCCAACGTGGCCTCGTGGAGCCCTTGGAAGAAACCCAACCGTGCAGGAGCCTCGACTTCTGGCCGCTCCGCCGCTCTTACCTCTTACATTCAGTCCATTGTCACATGCGAACTGTGCAAAGGGAGACATGTAATTTGGATCGTAGGCCAGCTCGTGGGCTTGCTCAGCGATGCTGCTGGCCGTCTGCTGGATGCTTTCGTAATTTGAGTTCTGGGTGGAAGGAGGGGGAAGAGGACTTCAACGGGACTGTCTACTTCACCTGTCAACAAGCATGCAGTACAACAGGACCGCTAACACAAAGGGATGGCGTTTTCCCGCAAGGCGGGTCCACCTTGGGGAAGTCAAAAGGCTAAATAAACCAAGGACAAATCCCGGCTACTTCTACGGTGGCAAATTTGAGTGGATCCGATCCTGCAAAGCAGATTTTCAAGCTCTCCGATAGCAGCTGGTCTGCTTTAGGAATTACAGGGGATGCCCGAGAGTAGATTAAAAGATAAACCTGCCCTCAACTTTTAAACTTTTACTCGGCTTCCCCGGATTTGCACCTTTGAACCCCGAGAAGAAGTTCAGAAGGTCACAGACTCACGAAGCAGAGAGGAACAGGAAATTTCGCCAAACCCACCGAGATTTGGTTGCACCCTGCCATTTTAACGCCGAGGCCACCGGGCAATTGCTGGGGAAAAGTTATCTTGTGTGTTTTTAATTTCTCCATGGTGGGACTCACTGCAACCGAGGTCTCCAACCTTGGCCACTTGAAGACTTGTGGACTTGTGGGATTCTCCAGCCAGCATAGCTGACTCTCTTGTAATCCCTTCCCCTGAAATCTCTCTCCACTTTAGGAGATTAAGAGAGAGAGAGAAAAGCAGGCATGGCTGGCTGGGGAATTCTGGGAGTTGAAGTCCCCAAGTCTTCAAGTGGCCACGGTTGGAGACCTCTTCCCTGCAAGGTCGTCTCCTCTTTCTTACTTTTAGTTTCTTCAGCTCCTGGAGGATCATGTAGTCCGGCATGTTGTCAAAGAGCCCATCTGTGGCCGTCAGGATGATGTCCCCCAGCTGAACATCGAAGGTGCTGCTGTCAGCAGCATCCGGGCTGAGAAAACATCGAGGGAGGAGAGAGAGAGAGATAAAAGGTTGAAAGGCTCGGTGTGTGTGTGTGTGTGTGTGTGTGTGTGTGTGTGTGTGTTTCATGCTTAAGCCGTACAAGAAATGGCGGTTCATTCTGCGCCAGCAAGATCCTGCAGCCAGCACAGGCTTCCCTCCGTCTAATCCCAGGGGTGCTTTTTCAGGAGGCAACGGGACTTCCTTATTTTTTGTTTGTCTTTGAAGACGTTTCGCTTCTCACCCAAGAAGCTTCTTCAGCTCTGACTGGATGGTGGGGAAGGGAAGGATTTATACTCCTTGCAGACAGGTGGTCGTTTGCATCCTTTTTAGAGAGCCGTTGAGGCCACCAGAGGACTCAGGCTGGTTTGAAAGAGGGGTCAGAGGCCATCTACGCCCAAATTGAACATCCCTCTCTCACCGGGGGGAGGGGGGGGGAGATATGATGTCATCTATCTCCAGTCTTCCAAGAAGGCTCCACCGCCATTGGCACCACTCAGGTGACCCTGAGGGCCCAGAGAAACCTCCAAGTGGCCTCAACGCCTCTCTAAAAGGATGCAAACGATCAGCTGCCTGCAAGGAGTATAAACCTCTGTGGAGATTCTCAGTCAGGCAGGTCCTGGTTGTCCCAAAGGGACTTTTTTTCAAGAGGCAAACTGGACCTTCTGGGCTTTTCTTTGAAGACATTATGCTTCTCACCCAGGAAGCATCATCAGCTCTGACTTAAGAGCGGGGAAGGGAAGCATCGATACTCCTTGCAGACAGCTGGACATTTGAAAAAGCATCTTTGGGACAAGCATGGCCTGCATGACGGAGAATTTCGACCGACGTCTCCGGCCTAATCCACACAGAACCCGGGGCCTTTTTGAATGGCCTTAAGACAAGCATGAAAGGGATGCTTGGCTGAGCCACTGATGGAGGTTGGAGGCACCCAGGGCCAAGGAAGGGGCCTTGCCCAGCTCAACACTTTCCAGAGACCCCCGGGAGGGTCCCCCAAAGGAATCCAAACGTCTCCCCCTTGACCAACACATCGCTGCAATTTCCCTCTCTCTTGGGCTGGTTCTTTGCAGGACGCCTGTGGCCTTTGCCACCCGGGGCTCCAGTCGAACACAATGTGCTTTTCCCTGTCAGAGCTTGGGGTTCTGCCAAGTGGGAGTTGATGAGGCATCCAGCGCGGCTGGAAACTTCAAGGGGGATGAAATACAAGCGGCAGTCATGTGCCTCCCTGTTCTGGCTGTCAGGAGGGGCTGCCTCACTGCAGGAATATGCAAGCAGCAGCTGCAGCAGCAGCAGAGCCTTTTCCAAAAGAGGAGGAGGAGGAGGAGGAGGAGAGGAAGAGGAAGAGGAGGAGGAGGGGAGGGGGGAGAAGAAGAGGAAGAGGAGGAAGAAGGAGGAGGAAGAAGGAGGAGCAGAAGGAGAAAGGAGGAAGGAGGAAGGAGGAAGGAGGAAGGAGGAAGGAGGAAGGAGGAAGGAGGAAGGAGGAAGGAGGAAGGAGGAAGGAGGAAGGAGGAAGGAGAAGGAGAAGGAGAAGGAGAAGGAGAAGGAGAAGAAGAAGAAGAAGAAGAAGAAGAAGAAGAAGAAGAAGAAGAAG